GAACAAGTGCGGAGGATACTAGCTCGGCTCAAATGCATGAATCAAGAGCGTCGATAGTAAATAAGCAGCAGAAGAGAGATATAGAAGAAATCAGAGAGCAATTCTTTTCTGAAATAAAAAAAGAACTCTCAGATCCCTTGCGCTCTTGCTCTTTGCCACCACCATGAAAGGTTGCTTTCTGCTCTGTGCTGCTCGGCGTTGGACCCAGATGAGTATGGACTGATACCTCCAGTAACTGAGCTAAATAAACCTTTCCTTCCTTCATTTGGAGTGTCGGGTATTTGTCCCAGCAACGAGAGAAGAGTAACTGAGACACATATCTTCATGGTTTACCTGTCCCAGCGCTCCAGCTGGGCCCTGGAGTGCTCCCTGCCCCACCCCTCCTTGGTGCCTGTGTGGACCCTGGAGGTAATTCCTGAGACCCACCTGCTGCTCACATCGGCTTTTCCTTCCACACCGTCATCTTTCTTTTCAGGGAGATGTTGGCAGCTGCTTGTGTCTCCTGTGATTCGAGGAGATGCTCTTGTGCTGGCTGGAAAGTGGTTCCTAGCTCAGGCCCAGCTCCCTCACTCTGTTCCCCTAGTCCTCAAAGCTGAGCCTCAGCCTCACTCCAGCAAGCAGCCCCCTGGTGTCCCACTTGCTGGCTGTTTCTTTGCACAGTGCGCCCCTCACTCCTGCAACCTCCTACACACTGGCACAGAGAAGAGCCTGCCCGCCACGAGGCTTGCACGAGGGCGCCATGGGTTTATGTAGCAATCTCCAGGCTCCCCCAGCATGCCATTTTTTGCACTGCGCATGTGTGAGCTTGGATTTGATTAGCCTGGTAGGGAATTTTATCTCATGCTATTGCCAAAAGATTCAGGACACGGAGGCCTGGCATGCTGCAGAGAGCATGAAGAGGGACGACGGTGGTGATTTCAGGGCTGAGGTCGTGTCCAGACAAGCAAAGACACTTCTCAATGGAGCACAGCTGGTGAATGCTGAATTTTACTTTTCCTCCCTGGGACAGAAGAAGTAAAGCCCTTCTCTGTACTATTTTCACCAATATTAGCCAATTGCTACCAAGAAAAATTCCTACTGTGTGCTGCTTCCTGATATCTTCCTGTTAGGCACGACTTTTGGGGTGAAGTTCCTTTTTATACTTTTGCTGGAAGGAGCTAAAAGTTAGAAGACAGAGTGGGAGCGGGTGGGTAGTCAGCAACGGAAAAGACAGAAGACAGGCGTGTCCTGCGGAGACCCTGGGCTCCTTCTGCCTGCTGAACTTTGTTTGGATCTTGACTCTCACGGAGACTCTTAATATGCATGTCAGATGAGGTGACAGAAACGCTTTGGCTTCAGAATGTAGTGCGTGCGTATGTGGCTTCCTGGGCCGTCTACTTCAGCAGCCCTACTGTATGCCAACATGGTGATGATGCTTTGTGAGGAGGATAAAGAGAAAAGAATCCCTACCTCTTGCCTTTAAGTGCCATAGCTTTTAGAGCCTTCCCAGAGAAAAACAACAGAGATTTCTGTAGCTGACCGTACTTTGTTATCCTGGGAGGATCAGAGTCTGTCACTTAGGACATTTGGGGCAAGGTAGTATTTTTCCCCAGCGCTGATTGTGGGCCATTACATTTGCCATTATTTTGATAGGAGCACTGAGTGCAGCAGAGATGGCAACAAAATATATCTTATTAGGCCATTTTCAGTTATTTTCAGAAAATGTGACTTTCAGAAAACATTAGATCAAACTCGCACATTTGTCCTGGTGTAGTCTAGAATCTTCCCTGTGGTTAACTGATACAGAATGTGCAGGCTTCCCTCTTTAACTTTTCTTGTGAAACTAGGAAAATGTGAGGCACATTGCGTGGGTGCGTAAAGAAGACAAAGTAGTTGGGCAAATTTGCTTAAAACTTCGCTTGCTTTTCTGGGGTGCTTTTCAGTAGAGCCAGTCCTTGCTGCCTTTGCTTTGGGCTAATCTTCGCATAAAAGGTATCAGAATAACAGTTTCCAGTGCACATACTTTCCATCTTTCTTTTCTTGGAAGCTGTTTCCTGGTTTCTTCTCTGGTCCTAGGGATGGGGCCCAGGGCCTCGGGCGTGCTAGGGGAGCACCGAGCCATTATGTTCTTTGCCCTCCTGGACCTTTTCACTTCTTCCTCCCTGGTCCCCATCCTTCCTGGCATGTGTAAGGGCTCCCCCAGGATCAGTCTTGCACTTCTTGTTGCTCATCTCTCAGGAAAATCTGGGTGACTCAATCTCCACGAGCACCCGCGTCATCCCTTTAATTCCTGCGACGCGGAGTGTTGTATCTGCTCACTTATATAATACTCCAATGTGTTTATTTGCTTGTTTTGAATAAAACATTTTGATTGAATATTTTTATGTAATTAAATACATTTTTATTTGGTTTATGTTAATTAAGATAATTGGACTTAATAGAGCCAGGAAGAAGGATGTTCATACAACAAATTGGGAAAAATGACTGTATTCAATAAGAATAGATAACGGCTCTCAGAAAACTTGCCTAGCCAGATGGTAAGAGAGCAGAGATTCTCTTGGGCCTTGAAGTCTGTGATTTTTCTCTTGTATTACGGGACTACAGGAGTAATACCAGAGGCCCACTGTTCATTTTTTAAATTACCTTCAGGCTACCCAAGTAAAGCAATAGAGCAGTTTATCTCAAAAGTTCTAAATAAGTTGCTATTACCCTCGTGTTTTTGGGTTTCTTAGCATTTCATCATCACATGTAGTTACTGTCCCAGATGTTATACTTTTATTGAAAATATGTACAGTAGCTTAAAACTATGCTTCATTTAAGTAGTTCCAATCCAGAATTATTAACTCAGGTTTGTAATCCTTTAAAGCTTTAAATTTGGATTGAGGTCTGACCTTGACCAGTTTGTTTGGATGATAGGTAAAAAAATGAATCCATACAAGCACCTCTGTGGCCACATGAGCTAAGTAAAACTGCAAAACTTTAAAATTTTTATGCAGGGCTGCAAGCAAAACCATCGCTCTTCGGGTCGCAGAGCAGGAAACAGTAACTGAGAGCAGATGGGGCGTGGCACAAGTCGCAGTGGACAGCCTGACACCCAGATGAGGGGTGCTGACTTGAGTGGAGGAGAACCACCAGGAGGGGCTGGCTCTGCCAGGGGGCAGCAGGAGCCAGTGTGAGCTCAGAATTCCCCAGCGGCTAGGGGGCGTGGAGCTCCCGTCCAGCACCCAGAGGAGCCCTTCCTCGGAGCTGTGAACAGTGATAGTCCTCCTCCTCCCCAACTCCCAGTCAGTGTCTAATCCAAATCCTGAGAGTGCAAACTCTAGTCAGTGGCTTCTTGCTACAAAGCAGATTTCTTAGTCCTTGTGGCAGTCCTGAGAATTCACTGCTTCAGTCCTTCCTTCCTGTGGGTCCTGGCACCTCACAATCATGCCTTGCTTCCTGCCCAAGTGCCCCCATATCTGTTCACGTTAGTGCGGGTGCATGTCCAGACCAGGTCTGGGTTCTGTTTCTTGCCCACTTGCCTTCTGAATTACAGGTTGTGTCGGCACCAGGCCAAAATCTACAGGGACAAAAGCTCCCCTCTGTTCATTCTCACCTTCTCCTTCCATCGGGAAGGGGGGTGATCCCGGGCCATCCTGGCCTGGCTGTGTGTGGGGAGGGTGGGGCCATCCTGGCCTGGCTGTGTGTGTGGAGGGCGGGGCCATCCTGGCCTGGCTGTGTGGGG